ATTCCAGGGGCCCGCCGATAAAATGGACGCGCGGATAACGTACAGAACCTTAACCTTGCGATGGATGCTGCAGGCACCTCGACTCTTGACTCGAAGTGGCCGGAGCCCCGATCGATCACACAGATCAGTTTTATTTTTCAAAACCGATTGCTTGCCAAGCTTCTCCACCGGCGGCTCCTGCTGCTAAAGCTGCCAGAGCCGGGGTGTTATCTTTGGTGTGGCCACCATTCGAGAATCGCGTTGGGCTGCTATTGTAGTCCTCAGGACGCACTCGTCTTCAAAGCTCTCCCCTTAAAGTTTCCCCGCCAGGCGGATGCAACTGGTGGTTTGTGCGGTGAAGGCGTGGTGGGCGTGCATGCTCGGGGGTCGGCAAGTCAGGGAACACGACACCACCTTGTTACACACACACACACACACCACACCACGCGCCCTTTCTATACCACCTACAAGTTTGTGGCATGAAGATTTTTTGCGCGGCCACGCCCCTTCGGACGAGGTGCTTCGTTTTCCTGTACGCTTGCGTAAACCGGCCGACATGAGATGATACCGCCCCTCAACCCCCCGGGGTGACCATGTTTTACTCATGCTATAATACTCTCGTTCAGTAGTCTTAGCAAGAATTTTCGAACATGTAAACATGTGGGATAATGGATGCAATCGGGAAAGTTGGGTTGGGGTTTGGGTTACCCTGTTCTGTTTCATCAATAGACTTGTTAATCTCGCGAAGGTGGTCTCGACGGGCGGTCCATCTCATTCCCGGGGTTTGGTTTCTTGCGTCATCTGCGGCTTGTTAATCTCCGCCTCTGTGCACCATGGTTAAGACTGTAAATGCATACAACAGTTCTTTTGCGGTGGAATTAAGAGGAGATAGAGCGAAGTCGGGTGTTAAGGTGTGAGGCAGGGAATAAGCTCGCTTGCGTGCTTCGAAGGAACAGCCAATGTGTACACATGACGAACGTTAAGTAGCAGAGGGCGATATGGTAGGGCATAGTCGGCGAGTGCGGCGTGCATATCAACAAGAGATTCGCGCTCCGAGGAAGTGGTTCTACAATGGCGCACCACCGGACTAACGTAAATGCTTCCCATCGGCCAATAGAGAGGGACAGAGCGGGCCCGATGCGGGACGAGAAGTCCTTCGCACCTTCGTAGTGTGGGTGGGTGCGAGGTATAACAGACCAGGCGAGGCAAGGGTTGGCGTCGGGGACACGTCACACCCCTCAAGCTCGTGTATGCATAAGTTCTGCTGCTACCACCGTCTATGGTGCTACAGCTACTGTTGCAGTGCCAGTGCTGTGCTGCTACTGGTCTGCTGCTTCGGGGAGATGTCACTGTTGGCCAACGCTGACGCCCACCACCCATTGTGCTGCCAGGAGCACTTTGACCAACCTTGTTATGCCTTCGGAACGCCTGCGCCGGTCGTACCAAGGGTCCATTGCTATTTAGTTTCAGTAGGCAACAACCAATCGCTCCTGAAACAATTTCACTAAAGTACCAACGTCACCGCACGGCTTGTGCTGGTGATTTGGTCGTGTTTTATTTCAAGTGGCTGAGTTCAAATGCTCCTGATCGCGGTTTGGTGCCTGTTGCGTGCATGTGATTTTAACGGCACATTTGATGTGCGATGCCCTCCCCCCTCTGTCTTGTGGCAATTGAAACGCCGTGTAGCAACATCGGGCGCAATGTGGAGAGCAGCAAGAAGAGAGCGAGGTGGAAGTTCTGCTTTGGAGAAGAAGGCCGGGAGCATGAGGTACGACTGAAACAGCCGTGCGGGGTAGTTCGTGCTGAGTAGCTATCCACATGCATACCCGTGTGCAGGAGTCGCTCCAGCATAGATAATCGATGTGATCAAGATACCGGCAAAAATGAGATTGCAGCTGGGTGGGGACGCACGGCGGGAGGCATTGAGAAAATCAGTGTGGAACATGGATTGGATCCGGTCAAAAGAACACGTGTCTTTTGAAAGACGTGATCGCAGCGTTTGCTTTTACAGTTTCTCGATGGAGCGAGCAGCATGCCTCTTGCTCTGGTCTCTCAACGGAATGCACACGGGCAGCGTCCGACGAATTTTGGGTTGGGGATACCGCAACAATGCCACGACCTGTCACGGGGCCACTAGTGAGGGCTTGATGCATAGGGCAACTTCTTCATTCCCTGCAACATGTCCTTTTTGCAGGACGTCGGTCGGGCACAGGGCTGGCCGTGTGGCCAGCCCGCATGTTTATCTCGCGTTTCACAGGGTATCCGGAGACTTATCAAGCCCATTCATAAGTCCCTTGAAGCCTGTAAGAAAAGGCTGGTTGCCAAGGAAGGGGAAGACTGGCTTGGATAGTTTTTTGGGTTACGAGTGCTTTGTTGTCGGCCCTGGTACGATTCACCCCTCCCTCCCCCTTGATCACAGACGTGCATGGTGTCGAGATACATATCCACGCCCTACTTTTGGCACGCGAGCCTCAGGAGGCCCGTGATCTGTGTCACGAGTATTGTTTCAAAACATTCAGGCGACGAACGTACCTTGCATACATGTCTCCACTCTTTGCCAGCCCCCCCGATGACCTGCTCACCCCCCCTCTCCCCCCTTTTTTTCAACATGCTCTCTTTTACTGTTGCCCCTCCAAACGGAGGTAGCGCACGAGGTTTTTCCTGCGGTGTACGTCCACTCGACCCCTCACGCAACAAAACATGGTAAAATCCGTGTGTGGTGGCCTTTATTGTGACCCCGGCTGATGCGCCCAGAGAACATGGGACTAAAGTGTTACACGCACGCGGTACACGTTAATCCAACGTCTGAAAAACGCACCTTGACACAGGTGACTCTAATTCACTCGCTCATGAGCGGCAAGAAGAAGACCATCTTCGATGGAGAGGTCATCAACGAGGCCCAGAAGGTCTCGAAGGAGTGGGTCTTCGCCTGGTCCTTCGGCGCCCACCTCCTTCGGGTGGGGATAAACTTCGAGGAGTACGGGCTCGTCATCGACGGGATTCCCTTCAAGAAGTGAGCCATAGGAGACGGCGGCTCGGCTGCTGCGGCGTTTTCCTTGTAGGTTAGAGGTTGCGTGTTGTGGGGGGGTCGAGCCCTCCAGCAGCCTGCCTGTGACTCGCGGCCAGCAGTACCTTACCTGACAGGGGTTACCTTCTTTTTTTCCTTGCGTTATACGTTTCTACATCCTCTCTCTGACGTGTTCGTCGCTCCTCGCCCGCCTCACGCTCCTCTGCTTTTCATTCATCTCTCGGTCCGAAATCAATCGGATCGGGCGCGAATTCCGTCGTGTCGGAAACAGCTTCAGCCGCAGAGACCCATACCTGGCAGCCCAGCTGGAGGCCACGAAGCGCGACAGCATGAGGAGCCTGCAGACCGACGAGAAGAGGCGTTTCGACAGGCTGGGGTACGGCGGCGAATCCGGAGGAGGCGGAGGACGGTCGAGGGCGGCGCAGCGTAGGGGCAGCGGCAACTCCAACTCCGGCAGCGGGGACGGCGGCGGCAGCGGCAGCGGCAGCCTGCGCAGGGCCTCGAGCAACAGGCGCGGCGGCCTCGACCGAGACCAGGACGGCGGCGGCGGCGGGAGGCAGCGCCGCCGGGAGTCGGAGGAGGAACGCGCCCGTAGCGATACCCGGAGGTCGAGTTCGATCGAGGGCAGGAGGAGGTCGTCCCCTCCGGCTCATCACTCTTTGTCGACCAGGAGAATGCAGGTTCGTTGGCTGGCTGTGTTTTCGCCACTGGGCTGGGGCCCACGGAGTAGGGGAGGGGGGAGTAGGGGGGGGTCAGCAGATTTATCGGGTATCGATGGTGTGTCTTTTGTGTGTAAGGCAGCCTCCAACGGGTGTTTTTTTCCGTCACTGACGCCTCCTGTGGACAGCAGTGCCGGGAAGTATGTGCGGAAGATGCCTCGCTCTTCGCTGGGAGACCGCGGCGGGTCGCCTGGCGTCTTGTTATGCCGTGTCGCTCCCCCTAAGTTGTTGAACTCCTGTAGAGTATGCTTGAAGTTTTTGGACATTGAGTACGGCTACCCTTGCGGTCTTGCCCTCTTGAGCCTCCTCCCATCCGGGGCCATAAAAGTAGGGAGCATCCTCTGCGACGCTCATCTGTTATTTCGCACGCGGTGAAAGGCTAGCAGGTTCTTCCTCGGGAGTGAAGCCTTGTAACGCCGTGTGTTTGTCCCTATCCCCAGGCTCCTCCTTCTGCTTCCGGCCCCGGGGGAGACCAGCGGAGACGGAGCCAGGGCGGCGGCGGCGGAGGTGGCGGGGGCAAGCCGAGGGCGGCGAAGCCTGCCGCCGCGCCGGCGGTGACTGACGACATCCTCTCGGCCGACCCTTCCACTCTTGAGGTAGCTATGCATATCTACCTACCAATGGCCCGGCAGATTGGGCCGGCCACTGGCACGCCGCTACACCTCATTGGATAAGGCGTTTAGAGGAAGTGGGACCGTTGAGCTTCGGGTGTTTTCCCGTCGTTGGCCTGCCTTTTTCACGCGCAGACCGAAAAAAATGAGGGGCGTTGGACGTCCAGGGTTGTAATTGTCACGTTTATGAATAGCGCCGACTACCGCAGTACTGCTCTTGAACACGGAGACATGTGGCCTTGGTAGCCCTTGCCGCATTTCTTGTTGTGACACTTCCTCTCGCGGTGCTTGTCGTAGTTGCTTTCCTCCCCTGAGAAGATGCCTACTTGCACTGCTGCTGCTGCTGCTGCTGCTGTGGCTGTTTGGTGTTGTTTGTTGTGGACGAGGGTTTTGTCCCGTACCAACGATACGTGGCAAGAGGTTTATTATACTAGCCGAACTTTGATGCCTGAGTGAGGCGTCACGTGGCCGGCCGGCTACAGGGGGAAGCAACCACTTTGTCTCACACCTCTCGAGGCGTAGTTGAGAGGACTGGACAGGTCAACTTCCAGCCCTGATGCCGCTAAACTACCAATACTGTTCTTCTCTTATCCAAAATGTGTGTAACGCTTGTTTCCCTTACCCCCCGAGGTCAATGGTCTAATGACTATGGCATGCACGACTATGAGTACATCCCCTCCCCGTTCCGTGCCTACGCCTCCTGCAATAGGTGAACCCCTTCGATGTGGCCCAGGTGCCGGTGGCGAGCTTCGACCCGCTCACCAACGGCAAAGGCACCGGGGATGGGATGGCGGCACCTGCTGGCGGCGGCGGCGGCGGCGGCGGCGGGGCGTGGGGTGGGGGAGGCGCGGATTCGGCCGCGGTGTTGCAACTGGGAATGCAGTTCGAGGTGAGTAGAGCCTCGAGGGTGAGGTGCAGTGTAGGAGGTGGACGCATCTGTCGCGCACAGGTGGCCCCTCTGTCGGTGTAGAGCCGTGCATTAACGGGGTGCAGTTATAGCGGGGTGGAAGGACCTTGTTGGTAAGAAATTACTGCGCTCGGCACCGCGGAGTTTTGGTGGTGAGATGAGGCGCGTCGAAGCGCCCATCTCGCACCTATAGGTTAGGTGACGGCGGTGGTTTGATTTTGTGTTGAGAAAGAAGACAATAGCACGGAGCTAGAGTAGGCTGGTTGTTGGCTTCCAGGTAACTGCCGCGCACAGCAGTGCAACCAGCCGTTCTCCGTGTGTGGTCTTGCTACCATCACAGGTGCCACGTTTGTTTGTGGTTTCCCTCACCTTGACCAGGGTATCGCTGTAGTGTTGTGTGCTCACACACCGCCATGCCAGGCGAATGAAGCCACACACGCCAGCGTCCCCAATTAACTCTTTGTTGTCGAGCTCTACTATTGCTATCGCGCTCAGCGTGTTGTTGTTCGTTCTCGCAAGACTGCGGCCGTTCCAGGCAGGCCGATAGACCAAAACGGCGTGCCTGGACGTACATTCCGGACGGGCTGGCTGTTTTCGCCCCGGTTGTTTGGGGTGTTGCGGTTTCACCGTGGGTACCGTAGATACCGTAGATCATGTGCAACGGTGATATCGCCACGGAACGTTGCTCTTGGCAGTGGGTTGGTGTCGTGCTGGGAAGGGGAAGTGTGTGTTCGTGGCGTAGAGCGCGGTAGCCGGCTTGCCAAGGACACGGCTTGATGGGACGGGATGGGACAAGACGCGAAGAATCGCCTTCCAAGCTTTTTACCGTGTTTTTTGTTTATTTCTTTCTTGTGCTTGGGCTGGCGTACCGAGTGTTGTCGCCGTTGCTCATCCCTTACGGCCTAGTCTGTGAGAAAAGGCGAGCCCTCCCTCCGTGATTTCGGAACATAGTTCCGATCGATCGGTCTGTGTAACGGCACCCGCTCTTCTGGAATTTTGGCCTTCTTCAAGGCTTTGTGATACAAATGTGTCAACGCTGCTCGGGGAGGGAGGGGGGGGGGGG